GTTAAAAAACACCTTAAAGAACTAAATATTAACCACGAGAATACTAGAAACTTCATAAGAGAAAAAATAATAAAAAATAAACTTTCAGTCTAAGCAATATAATAAGAGGACTTAGACAGAAAAACAATCAAAGGAATTATCCTCAAGATCTACCAAATCATAATGACAGAACTTTACAAATTATGGTTAGAAAGAAACAATCAAACTCAAGAAACAATGGAACAAAAAGAAATAAAAAGAAAACTTGAAGAATTCCCAAATATAAAATCAAAAAATAATAAAAAAAAATGAAAAATATAAAAAACAAAAAAACCAAATAGAAAATTCCAAAGATTATATCTTAAATATAGTAATAGATTACACATTACAGATAGATACTTCGATTTATAAGTTTATTTTCAATTTATTAAGAATAGATGTTAGTGGGGCCGTAGCAGTTGAAACTTACTAATTGTAAAATCCAATTTTACATGGTGGTAGGTTAAGTCATATCATCAGATTAGCTAATGCAATTTCATTGTATTTTTTTGTAATACTTAAAGAAACTGTATGAGATCGTGCTGGTCTACTAAAATAAATAAATAAATAAATAAATTTATTCACGTCTACTTAAAGTCAAAATTATCACTAGATCTATAACAACTTCTTTTAATTAAAATTGTAGACATTGTTCTTGGCTACAATTTCATATAAGATAGTTGACATTTATCTTTAAAATTCATCAAGTCCGGTATGGGTAAATTTCAAAGATTAAATTTTTTATTTTTTGTCAATTCTATTTAAAGCGTAATTTCTCTATTAATAGATATTTAATTTTAACACAAAATATATCATATGATAGCCCTAATTTAGGAGAATTCAATAAAAAAAAGTTTGTGTAGTGTAGATCACCCGTTGTGTCACAATTAACATTTTAACTTTAATGATTTTTTTATTAATTTTTATTTGCCCCATGACTTTTGATATTCCACTGTACAGTGGAGGACAGTGAAAATCATCAACTCCATTGAGGAATTGGCCAATTTTACAGATTATAAAAATGATTATGTAAGCACGAAAATAGCCAATCAGATTTCAGAAATTTTCAAAAAAAAATTATTTAATTCAATAAAACATTAATTCGATTCATTACATCTTCATTAATTCTTCTATGTGATTTATATTTTTTTACAGCATATTCTGCTGATTTTCCTGTTATTTGATGTCTGTATGCATCCATCTTACGTCAAGATAATCTTGCATATGAACGAATTGTTTCAACAGATATAGATTCAAAAGCCAAAGGAAGATTTTTTTTTAATGATTGTAATGAATATTCACAATGGTTTAAAGTGTATCTTTTAGCTGCAACCCAATATAGTTCAATATAATTAAATTCTGGATGAAATTTTGGATAAAAAATAACCTATATAATATCAAAATTTTAATAAAAAAAATAAAATAAAATGTGATCAATAAATTAATTAAATATTACCATATGACCTTGGGATTCAATTTCTTGTTGAATTAATCCTTTTTGTACAAGAAGATCTGGTTGATTAGCAAGTAATCGATGAGCACAACAGTTAATTATATTAGGATCGGGATCTTTTTTTCAAACAGGCTTGACAATCTAATATCATATTATTTTGCCATAAATTTCTCTCTTTTAAAATCCATTCTATTCCCTAAGGTTTACCACGTAAATTAACTTGTTTTGTTTTTGAATCAATGATAAAGAAATCATTTTCAATTATCATTGATTGTTTCTGTCCATTCCAAAATGTGTCATGCATAATTTGGTACTGCGCCACTCGGTCCTTTATTCATTTTACTTGCAACTAAAGCATTAGCTGCAAAAGCAGTATGTGAAGTTGCATTATCAAAAGCCCATATAACAATACAATTTGGATGTGCGTGCTCAAAAATATCAATTGCACAAAGTAATTGTATGACTAATTTTTCTCCATTCCAATATCCATCACTATTTGCATCCAATACCATAGTTACTCTAGCTATATTATATTCATCTTTTAGCGGACTGATAGTTTCTGTTAAAAAATCTGAAACATGAACACCTTGTCCTTGACCTTTTTTACGTAATTGATATTCATCTTTTAGTGGACTGATAGTTTCTGTTAAAAAATCTGAAACATGAACACCTTGTCCTTGACCTTTTTTACGTAATTGACACTCTCCTTCTGGCCTCAAACTTCACGAGGTCCATCATAAGAATAAAATGTGGATTCATCATGTGTAACCCAGATATGTTCCTTTTCTCCTGAATTCAATTGTGGATATGTTCTTATTTTGTATTCTTTATCTAACCGCTGAGACATAAATTGTTCATAATGGCGAACAGTTTCAAGAAACTTTTCATGGTAAATTATTACATCTTGAAGATTATGACCATTGATATATGTTCCTTTTCGATAACGAGTATGTCTAAAACCCATTTTATGCATCCATCTACGTGCTGTTCTAACAAATATTGTATGAGTGTTTCAATATTTAATTCTGGAAGTATTTTTTCTTCAAAATATTGTCTCAATATTAAAGGACTAACTTGAAATTTATTGGCCCGGAGATAAGAAGAAATTCGAATAGAAATAAATTCATCATTAAGCAAGTTTCGTGATGAAACTTTTCCGTTTTTAATTAGGATACATTTACCTATTTCAAAATTAAATTAAATTAATATTAAACTTCATAAATAATTTTTAATTAATAAAATAAACTTTTTAAATACCTTCTAAGCATATATTTGCCCAAGTCCGAATACAGCGTGCACGATATTTACCTCCCTTATAAATTCTGGCAACCATTAAACTTGCATTCATCTTTTTTTCACCTGATAATAATGTGTTAATTTTCTGAACGTCCAACTGCTGATAGATTAGCTATTTATTTTTTGTATATTAAAAAACTTGGTGATAATATAGTGGATGAAAATATTATGCGACAACTTAAAATTGCTGATGAAAATCAAAAAATACGTCAAAATCTCAAATGCAAGAATTATTCAAATTATTTTCACGTTCAAGTAAGTTGCATCCTCAGTCAAGTTTTAGTAGTCGATATATCAAAACTCTTCATGGATTGCATGATTTATTGGATGAAATAAAATCTGGAAATCTTCAGGTATATTCTTAGAATAATTTCGATAATTTTATTTTAATAAATGATTAATTACAAATTCTTTAAATTTATAGATCCTAATTTATCATTAAAGTCCAATAAATCAACTATTGATTCCACGGAGGAAAGGAAATTCAAAAGCATTTATAATAATACCGATTCTAAAGAATCACTAAACATTTGGATGCTACATACTTTTTTATATTTTAAAGTTAAAATAAAATAAAAAAAAATTGAAAATTTAGAAAAAATCCCCCAAAAAATATAAAATATAAACAACTATTATATATGTATATATATAATATGAAATTCATTTTTTTTTTTTAAAAATTATTATAAGAAAGATGCCATTTGAACCGGCATATTTGCACCATCATTGTCACCATTGTATTGGACTTGATTTACAATTGAATCAAATAACTTTAATTGGTAAGAGTCAGAGATTATAGGGAGCTTTGATAATTTGCTTTGGATATTCTCTGAAATTTGATTAACCATTACATTAGAATTTTGAACTGAATTGGTCATTAATCATTTGTCGTGAAATTTTTACAATTTGTGGTGGAATAATTTCAGTATTTAATTGTTTAGAAGCAGCAGATTTGTGTATTTCTTGTCGTTGTCATTACATTATTGTTGTTGCTTTCGAATTCGTTGTTAATGATGTAGAGATTGGACTCATTGTGAATATTGTTGCAGCTGAGTCAAATGAGAGGTATTAAAAATCATCTGAGATGATTAATTATTGAGTGGTCGACTATCATGCAAAGTTTCAGTATGAGATAATAATTATTTCTGATGTTGGTATTTGAATTTAAATAAATCGAATTTAAGTAATAATTTAATTAATAACCTTCTCTCTTTCTCTTTCAACAGATAAACAAACAAGCCCGAATCTGATTCCAAGAGTCTTCTTTATCGCTAAGAGTCCTTTTTCAAATCAATAACATATTATCTATTATTACTATAATTTATAAAATATTTTCATCTACATCAATCCTCCTTGCTTTATCAATAATTTACTTAAGAGATTTTCCACGGTTTGCAGAGTTATGATTACAGATGAAACTCTGGTTTGGATTCTTCTATCAAGATAAATTAATAAATTATAAATAAGTTTTCCTTTAATTTACGATGAATGGCATTACATTTGGATTTAGGTGGATTGTTAGAATTATCCATTCTGGAATTGAATTGGGATCCAAATCTAACTTTGGGTGGAAGAAAAATCATCTCATCCATTTAATAAAATAAAATAAAGTATAATTGAACAAATCATAGGTAATTATATTATGAATTAAGTTCGAATATCTAGTTTGTACGTCTGGTAAGGACCAGTGGATTATAGTTTAATCTTAATATCCCAAAAAGTCGTGGTAATTACATCCCATTGTGGATTTTAATCATGATCCTTAAACTCAGCAACTACGAAACAACGCAACTTAGATTAATAATAATTATAACAACATTATTATATTTATGGATATTATAACTATTTTTGAAATATTGAACTTACCTTCGTAATATTTATATATATATTTTCGACAGTCGTTCCGCCCTATCCAATAATATACGACATTTCAATAGTTTTGTTTATTTTGTTTATATTTCTCCCTGAATTCAATGGTCTTATTATATATCAGATGAACATATAAAGAGACTTCAAGGTTGCTCAAAATTTATTGTTCGTATTTTTTAAAGGTTGAATATATTAAATCATTTTTTTAGCTATTGAAAAAAAAAATGCAAGATCAAATTTTTAGGTAATACAAATTTTATCGTAATTATTTTCTGCAATCATTACATTATGAAATAAGTACAGTTACAGTATATAGAAATAATTGATAATTATTTTCAGATTTTTTTTATTTTTTAACATTTAATAAATTTCGGTTGTTTTTATTCACGTCTAATTAAAGTCAAAATTTTCATTAGATAATGGTAAATATTCTTCTAATTAAAGTTGTAGATATATTTCTTGCTACCGCTGCAATTCAATATAAGTCTATCTCTAATAACCATTAAGTCCAGTATGGGTACAATCAAAGTTTAAAATTATTATTTTTGACGGTTTTATTTGAATAGACATTCAATTTAACAAAAAATGTATCAAATGATAGCTCTTGCTTAGAGGAATCCGAATAAAAAAAGTTTTTGTAATTTAGATCAAAATAATGACTTATTTTAAACGATTACATCTGTTTTAATTTAAACAAAAGCTATACTCTATAATTCCAATGATAAAATAAAATAATACATGATAAAATAATAAATATGATAATAATAAATGAATAAATAAAATAATAAATAAAATAATAAATTATACATAATAATATCAAAATCAAATAATATACAGTCAGATCCCTCTATAGTCACACCTTCGGATATAAAAAACTGTGACTATATAGAGATGTGACAATTATAGATGTTTTTTATTTTGTGACTATATAGGTATGACTATAGAGGGGTCTGACTGTAGTTTATTTAAAATTTTATTCCATTTTTAAGTTTAATTTTCTTCATCTTTTTCAACTACACGAATTAAATATTGTTAATAACTTTTTAAATATATCAAACAAAATAATTAAAGAAATATATTTACCAATTATATTATCA